ACGCTCTAGGACAAAGTAGTGCAGGAGGGCTTCGATGGCGTACGGCGCCCCGTGGGTGTAGTTGCCGAGGACGAGACACGAGACGATTTGCTCGAGGAACGGCAGCGGCAGCGCGGGATCGTGTGCTTGGTCTGGGGTGCCGGGCTGGGCTTGGGCGGCGAAGCTCATGATTCCGAACAGGAGCGCGATCCATGTCAAGGGGGCTTGGGACGGATCATCCCAGAAACGTTGATACTGCGGTGTCTGTTAGCATTGGGGTGAATGGGGCAAAGGGCGCCTACGTAGCCAGACAAAGGATGGAACACACTTGTTGCAGAAAACTCGGCGAGTGAACGCAAACTAAACCCCAGAAACTGATTAGTCGCACTCGAGGTGCGGGCGTGATGTGGCGATGGGCTGGAGTATATGATGCTCACCTCGGGGCAAATCTTCCATGCTGAAATATGTAGCAACTAAGCGGTTAGCCACTGAACGCTCCGGCAAACTAGATAGTATTTCCGATCTCGATGTTGACAAATGGGATCCATGGAGCAGCAGCGCGCATGCTGTAGATTGCTGCGGTGCTGGGCCGGCGCTTTGCACAATTTCATCCTTTTGCGGACGGGGAGCAGGCACAGCGCACGCATCATCTAGAAGCAAGCGTTGGTCCGGTTCGGCAAAGTCAACTAAACGCGTTGTCCAGTGCCGACTATTCACGTATACCGTTGTTTCCGAGCCAAGCTGCATAGTACCAGGTGGAGGCCCTTCCGACACATTCGAAGGAGGAAATTCAATGCTCGAATGCGCGCCATTGCTGAAGCTCGCATGACTACAGTGTGTCTGGTCTATCTGTGCCTGAAGCACCGCCTGAGATTGCGTAGGAGAGGTGGAAGCAGAGGCGGGACACGACGAGAGGCGATGAGGACGCGGAACGTAGCTGTCGGGATACACGCAGGACGAGGGTATCCCGCGGATGGAACATGCCATACACGGGACATTACCGCTGCATACAAGCCTATTGTAGCACATTAGATAATGGATGTCGTCGCTCATGAATAGGATGGCACACTTTCTACGCAGACAGAGGTCGCAGCAGCGTCCGATACCATGCACCGGATCATGTGCAGGCTTCAAGCGTTGAGCCATTATGACTAGACACGTTCCTCGTTTTGTAAATCGTCGTCCGGTATTCTCAACACATAAATTGGTGGATCGTGATAAAATTCGACTCGTTTGTTCGGCCGTTTGCTGAATCGACTCATTGCCCTCGCAGCTGAGCAGCTTGTCTCACCCGTAAGACTGGCCGCGGCTGAGAGTTGTGCCACGGATGCGACATTGGCTTCTGGCAGGGAAGTAATACGAATAAACGACTTTTCCGTCTTACTTGTCGAGCATGTATAAGCTCGCGGTGGACGAGCTTCTTTGGCAGGCCACAACAGGCGACAGGAGCAGTGACATCCGCCGGGTCTATGCCGGCTGTGGGCTGAAGTGATATCGCATTTTTCGAGTAACTGCGCTTATCGATCTGGATTAACCAAGTACGGACCATGTACAAGTCTTGCGGCTGTGAAGGCCGTTGTGTAGCATTTCAAGCTGTCTGATGGACAGGCATTTCATGACACTACACATAACGTTGCGCTCAACATTGATTCTCATCTTGACAGATAAATAAACTTTTGCGGGCATCATTCGAGCTCGTCAGTCTGATTAACGTCTGAAGCTCAGGCACCGTCCATCTCAGTGTCCTTGATTGAACCCATGAGCTCCGAGTTCAAGGAACATGTCTGTGTGAGATGTACAAGTCACAAAGTACATATGTATACACAGAATGAACAGAAATGTATTGGCGCATACTATTTTACCTTAGTAGCTTCAAATAAAGGCGGCCATTTTTAATCCCATGCACATCGTTCAGCATCGTTGGCAAGCCGTACCAGGACAATACCCATGACTGCAAGAGAAGCTACAAAGACCCTTGTATCCCTCGCCCTCTCCGGGAAGAGGGCAGCCGTTATAGCCAGTCTCTGGAGGAGGAGAAATCTGACTTCCGAACGAAGTGCATTTACACGGGCCGGGTGGACAGTATCCATAGTGACACGAGAAGCCGCAAAGGCCAGAATAGTTGCCGCTTTCGCCGTCGGCGTTTGTGCCGCCGGTGCAAACTTCTGAAACGGCATGTTAGCCAAATATTCCTTATATTCATGAAGCTAGCATTTTGGGGGACAACGTACCACCCCCTCCAGGGGGACTGGTGACAGGAGGCTTGGTAGAGCTGGTAGTAGTGGTAGGACGCTGGCCTCCCGGTGAAGTGGTTGTCGTTGGTGTTTCGCCACCAGGAGGATTGGTAACTGGAGGGTTGGTCCCCAGAGACGGCTTGGCTTCACAAGTACTGACGTGCAGACCGACCGTCAATGATGCCAGGCCATGCGGCTGCAGGGGATCGTTGAAGCCGGAAGGCAGAGTGCCCACGTAGGCGTTGAAGTTGTAGATGCCGCAGGGACACACATTCGCTATGTCCATTAATGATGTGCCCGAGAGCACAGTATTTCCACTGCGAGTCAGAGAAAACTTTTGCTGGCCGACACCAGCGGGGACAGTGAAGATGTGAGCGCCAGACGGCGCGTTTTTCGTCTTGGATTGACCGCCAGACTGGACGGTAATGGTTCCCGGTTGGGTGAGGAAAGACACGACATAGACAACGTCGTCCATGGTCTGCCAGCCGTCGGGCCGGCCCATGAAGTAGTTGCCGCTGTTGTTGTTTGCAGGACGTCCGGCCGTGGTGTCGGTGGAATCACAGTCGAGCGTGCGGAGAGTGCGGCGGTACCAGTAGATGATCTTGTCTTTTTTGATGTAGTCGTTGATGGAACTGGCGCCGGCTTTGTACGCGGCAATAAAGGGCTTGGAGAGATCCAACCAGCCGTCATGGGGCCTAAGATGCCGCTGTGTTAGTTATCAACATCTTTTGGGGGCGAGCGCGCCTGGGGGCTGGGTACGGACATATCATTGACCCATTTGGAGTTACCATCGTCATAGTGAGGGGACTTGAGAGGGCCGACGTAGTGAGATTCCCCGTAGTCATTCCAGGTGACAATCTCAAGCATAGGGAATCTCTTCTGAAGCACCTGGTTCCAACGGTCAAAGATCAAAGAACCTCCCGGAAAGACCCAATTCTTGCTGTAAGAAACCTCGGGACCGAAGTGGGTGAAGAACCAGGGTGACACGGGCGCCATGTACTTCTTTGTTCCAAGCCAGCTTTGGTACGAGTTGTCTCCATCAGCAACAGTGACAGTATGGCCGTTGGAGGGCGCCTTGTTGTTTCCGTTGCTATCCCAACCCTGCGATGCCAGTGTTAGTAAAGCACATGGCTTATACGGACAGAACTTACCATCCAGTTCAGAGCGCCGTCAATTTTGTCGGGAGAGGACTGTCCAGGGTGAAAGTTGGGAACAAAGTACACGTTGGAGCCGGCAGCAGACCTCATGGCATCAACGTCTAACCCATCACCAGCAAAGGAAGAGGCAAAGACACGTCCATCAACCACCAGTTGTGCAGGCTTACTGGCGTACTGGGCAATCTTTCGTCCAACGCCGCCAGCATCGCCGGGACTCCACCAGTTAAAGTCGAAAGAAATAAATACTTTCATGCCATTCCTCGCGGCGGAGTCGTACGCGTATCCAAGCTGCTGGTCTGTGTATCCATCCACGCCAATGTTGAGGGCAAAGGCATCAATCCCTGCATCTTTGGCGCGTCTCATGTCATCGTCATAGTCGGATGCACTGGTTCGGTCCCCAACAATGCCAATCTAGCGGTATAGGTTTAGTATGTGCCGATGTGGCAATGCGAAATTGGCAACGAACCATGAAGTGGCAAAATACGAGGCGATCGCCCGCTGCAGCTCGAACCTCTAGAGGAGACGTCTCCGGCATTAGAGAAGCCTTTGACACAGACAAGCAAGCCGCTATGGCAAGCCATCCCACGCCGAGACGGCGGAGAGCGCTGGAGAGTGAGAACATGGCAGGTATTTCTGCCAATTGGAAACTGGTCGACTAGATGCGTTTGGCTGGTGTATGCGACGGTGTTAAATAGTAGATTGTCACACAACCCCTCCGGATCGCTACGTCTTAAATACTCATGCAAAACGAGAGGCAAACATGCCCATGTGGGACGGACCAGGACGACATGTGCCTGTGCGGCTCATTGTTGCAGCATCTCCCTGTTTGGCGGGCGACAATAACTCTGATGACTAGATGGTCACACTGTCAATGTGAAGAGAATGAATCCTTTCGTCAACCATCGGACCGATGCGAACCTGCTATTGTGCCACGTCGTCACCACAACCTGCATGGAGAGGTGACATCGGGAGCGAGAAGCCGGTCGACGCTAACCAGGAACGAAACTCTGGTAAGCCGCCGGGACCTGGATGGCGCATATATGGATACCGTTGAGGAGGGTTTCTAGTCGAATGAAGAAAATTATTGCACGAGTAGGAGGTGAGCTCTGCAAGCGTGCCTGCTCAGTGACACGGGTCCCCTCTTGTGGTGTTTACCCAAACCTCCCGACCAAACCTTGCTAGAGAGTTCCTTGAGCGACATGAAATAGTTGATTGGGCTCTGTATCTTGGCAAAACAAGCGGTTTGAGAAACTTCAAACTAGCCGACTTGGCAAATGGTCAAGATGGTGATGAAATGAGCGTTTTATTTAGCTGATGAGGCTCACCAACAGTTCAAAACTATTGCCAGTTTCGTGAGCTCGCTCATTTATAATATCAAGCCAGGAACTTGATTCCCAATAAAGTTTTCTTCCATGTTCTGCTCCATCATCGTTCCCCAACGTACGTCTCCAAGTGCCAGGAACAGCTTCTTCCAGACTTAACATGGCGCTAGCAAGTTGACTCTCTCCATTCGTGGGGTAAAGCAATCCGACTTTGTACATCTGGAGAACGGGCTGAGGACATGCATATTGTAACATTCTTATTAAGCAAGCCAAGCTTTAGCCAAAAACCCCGTGATGGTTGTGTAATATTACCCCTCTAGCGCTTTCAGGTGAAGCGTATATGATGTTTCTCTCTTCACCCTTTGACTCATCAGTATTGCGATGCCCCCATGATTATCGTACAAGGTCACAATATGCGCAAAGCCATCCTCATCATATACGTCGTCCGTGTCCTTGTAGTCGGCCCTGAAGGCACATTGTGCAAAATCGATCAAGTATAACCGAAACACGTCGCGGCCCATCTGCGACACCATCATATTCCTAGGTTGACAGTCATGGTGAACAACCCCCGCCCTATTCACCTCTCGAACAACATCAATTGCGCCTTGCACTATCTTCTCCCAGAGAAATGGCTGATTTGGGATTCTCGCCGTGAGTTCTGACAGGGGGAAGCCGAAAAGGTATTCAAGTAATATACCACGAACTTGGAAGTACTCGACCGGAAGATCCGCGGGTGACTCTGGTGAGCTGTCAATGACGGATTCGATAAATCGGGGAGTGCATCGGCCTTGGAGTGGTTTTAGTTGGCTATAGGCTCGTACTTCATTTTCATAGTTTCTCTGAGCTGTGTGGTATATTATAGCTTCCGACTCGGCGAGGTCATTCTCGTTGTCATCATCATCATCTTCTTCTTCTTCTTCCTCCTCTTCTTCTTCTTCACTGCCCCCTTCATCAACATCCTTTTGAAAACGCGCCCTTCGGACACTGTCTTCCTCGTTTCGGAGATCGTCAAGGAGCCTCTTCGCCAAACCAGAGCGAACAGAATCTTGCCACACGGCTTCCGCTTCTTGGTTGTATGGATGCTTCTTGCGGAAATGCCCAAAACGTCGATCGAATAATTTGAGAATGGCCGTCTGCATTCCATCCGGCATTTTTACGTGCACTACCATGACAGGCGATACAGTAACCGAGCAGACGCGGGAGATGACGAGTTGAATATCGTCCCCGCAAGAGGTTTTCAAGGTCATAATTCGACCTGCAACGTAGGGAAATGGAGTTCCTGCAGTGCTGCTAACAGCGTCGGGTATTTTGGTTGAGCTGAGGAGACGTTAGTTTCATTGATTCCGGGGGCGCATTCATGGCCTACCTCATTGTCGAGAATCAACAGCGAGCCTATCTTGAAAAGACACAAGGGACCAAAGTCTACCATGAGTCTTGCGCAAGGTGATGCAAGGAGAAAGAAGGAGGTTGAGGAGGAAGAGAAAACGAGCCGCGATTGCGCTCCAACATTTTTTATAGAATGACTCATCATGCATCTGGGGCAAATCAAGACACCCTTGGGCTTAGAAAAATGATGTAGGCCAATAATTGCGTGACCTTTTTTTTTTAGATTAGAAGGCTTTATACTGTCAAGTAATTTCTTTGTTCTGGTGATGTTCTGTTGTAACAGCGCCAAACTGACATGTCATTGCAAGTGAACATTGAAACAACATGGGTCAGTAGGCGCTCACACTCTCGCAACATTGAAAGGAAAAGTGAGGCAACCGGATTTGTGTGGTCGCATCAATGCACGGCCGGCGGCAAACCGACGCCTGTCAATGGCCACCAACATGCATGATGCCATCAACATTCGAAGCCTATAAACCCCCCCGGAAGCTGTGTTCATCTGCTGGTGCCGGCGCCTGGCCACATCCATCCAACATTGAAAGGTTCAAAGTTGCACGTGTGCGTGGTCAACCGTCTCAGAGAATGAGGGAAAAAAAGGAGTTGCTGGCCTGTATTCTGTTATACAATCAGTTGTATCCGACCAACATACGAGCGGATCTCTCACGACACATGGCATGATTCATGTACATTCCACCACATCCAATTCACCCACAATGCAGTTCATTTTGCATCTAGTTTACCTCGTTTCTATTTTATTTTCCCAGGCATACTGCTCGTCGTTGGCCCTTTCACCAGATGCTGCCCATCGCCCGTCACTAGTCGCGAGGTAAAGCAGCACCAACAACACATTGTCACCTCGGTACACCATCACGATGCTCGTCAAAGGCCTTGCCACTACCCTCGCTGGAATCATAGCTATTGGAGCTGCAGCCACTTTATTTTTTCTCATCAAATTCATTTGATGCTGCTTCCATTCTCATGAAAACCATCATTCAGGTAGCCATATGGGAGTCCTGGAGTCTCTGGAGGGTCGTTGTAATGGTGGCACTCATCGCCCTCCATAACGGAACCATGTACAACCGTTAAACTTCCGAGGGGAATTTTCGTATTGCCTTGATTTTCGTCTATGGAGGACTTATTATCAGCTATTCTTGGAGATGGTGGTGTGTTATACTACGAATATTGGAAGCTGTAGCAAAGCAAGCTTGCTGAGCTATCATCTCAAACATATTCCGTATCATTGCAACTTCTGAATATCTGAACTCGAAGTTTGATTTGAAGGAAATGGCTATTATATCTGCACTAGCGAACCGAGATGGCAGCCTCGTCTTTCTACGCCCCCAACTCTAGCATCTAGAGCGCAGGCGTCTGCCCCGACGAGTCGAGATTATGGCGTGCACTTTCTTTCTGCGCCCTCGAACTTTGGCAGAGTTTCAATCCACGCTTCTAGGTTCTATCAATATAGTCCAAGAAATTCAAAGTCCAAACCTTGAATCTGAGACAAGCGATCTGGACGACGAGACAATGTTCTATAGAGACATGCAAAAGTTTCACGAAGAAAAACATGAAAAAAAAAAGAACAAGTTGACGAATGTAAAGTAAAAGAAAAGGCAGAGAGAAAGAAAAAGAAGAACATAGGAATAGGGGGCTCGACAAAAAGCAGGAACCGATCCTAAGCCTTGGTTAGAGGCAAAAGTCAAGACATTTGAGAAAGCAGCAGAGTCATGTCTAGACAAAGCCCTCGCTAATGTTATGGCGATGCTGTGTGTTTTCACTCCACAGGACTTGCACCATGGACGACGACATGATGGCAGAACTCGACAGCGACGCAAATCGGATCGCACGCCATCATTCTGGCCATTGGCACTTGGAAGTCGCACTCATTGCCATCCTAACCACCTCAGCAACGCAGTGGACTTTGCAACAAAGATGCAGCGGTTCCAATATCACATGATGCCGTTGGCTCAAGATCAGCGTCGAAGAGCATTTTCGTCGACGGCAGCAATGTTGGAATATTCGGCATGGTCCATTCGGGTGATCAAACAGTGCGAGCTTTGCCGGACTCTCCAAGCAAGAAAGTTATTCAGGCCGTTTCTCAGAGTTTTCTGGGCCCAGCAGGTGGCCTTGGACCAGAATTGAAATGGCGCATCAAAGGTCAGGATAGTATATGTGCAGAGGATAACGCCCCTGCCTGGTTGCGCTTCTCTATGGCGAGTCTATATTTCAGAGTTCGGCCTATGACTTGCATAGACTACGACCGGGGCGGGAAGACGAGAAATACAGCGACCGGAGGCTGGGCAAAAAGACATGGAAGAACAAATGAAAAACTTGGTGGGGAAGAAAGAGTGTAGACAACGACTGAAGTCGGAGATGTGAGGCGAGCGGAGGGGAATCCTTCATTGCCGACACAGCCTGACTCTTGAGACGGATGGACAGACAGACGTGAGTTTAGTTTTTTTATTCTTTTACAAAAATGGTCCAGTTTTTATTCACCCCAATGGAAAAGAGGCCGGAATAGTTGTCACAGTAGCAACTACTGGCATGGCGCCGATGCACACCTCACAAAGACTCCAGATGTCAATTTAGTAAAGCAAGTCGTGACTCGTTATTCGCCTGCTAGCAAGGCTTGTCGTCAATCTGATACACTAAAAACAATGACATTACAAAACTCAATAAGCCGGTTCAGATTCCTCCTGTCCCAAACAACTCCAAGTGAACCCTCTTCACCTCGACGCCCTGTTCCGTCAACCAAGTCCGCGTCTGCACCATCCATTCGGGCGGCCCGCACACAAAGTATTCCGCCTTGTCATCATCAAGGCATAAATGCGCACCCCCATCCAGCCTACCCAGGTCCATCCTCCCCTGGAAAGTATACTCGTCGCCCTCTTTGACGTTTTTCAGAAAAAGCACCGACGACACGTTATCACAGTCCTTGGCAACGGAACGAACGTGCTCCCCGAAACATACGGCCCCCGCGTGTCGCGCGCCGTGGATGTAGCTCACCCAGCGAGCCGGATGGCCAGACTTGAGAATTGAATCCAGAATCGCAACGACGGGTGTCGCCCCGACACCAAGACTAAGCAGGACGACGGGAACATTTGCATCCACGGCCTCGGCGTCAAACGAAAAGACGCCCCGGGGAGGACTGAGTTCCACCTCGTCGCCGACATTGTACCTCTCAAAGAGAATGTTGGAAACAAGGCCCGGCACCTTGCCCTGCACAACGTCCTGCGCGCTCGCGTCCAGCACAGTGCTTCCTCGCTTGACCGTGACGCGCAGCTGCTCGCGCGAGTCGACGGGCGCCGAGCTGATGCTGAACTGCCGGCTTTGCAGGAGCCCGTCGGCCTCGGGGACCGGGACTTGCAGCGAGACGTACTGCCCGGCAAGGAATTCCTTCAGGGGCAGCGTATCGGTCGTTTTGAGACAGAGGTGGAAGACGTCTTCCGAGTCGTGCTGCTTGTCGGCAATGACAAACTTGCGCCACTGTTGCCAGTCCTGGCCGTGCTCGCGGTAGAGCTGCTGCTCGCGCTGGATAAAAATGTCGGCGAGCTGCTGGTATGCCGCGATCCACGCGTCCTTGATTTCCTCGGTCACGGCGCTGCCGAGGATTTGCACAAACGCCTCGACGAGAAACTTGCCTACGATGGGGTAGTGCTCGGGCTGGATAAACAGCGAGGCATGCTTCTGGGCGATTCGCTCAACAGCCTCGCTTAGTTTCGCAAGGTCGTCAATGTACGCTGCGTAGGCGAAGACGGCGTTGGCTAGGGCTAGCTGCTGCGCGCCGGTCTGCTGGTTGCGCAGGGAGAAGTAATTCTTCAGCTCGGGGTGGACAGATAGCAAGTTTGTGTAGAAGGCGTCTGTAATGGCCCGGCCGTGCTCCTTGATGATGGGCGCGGTGGACTTGACAATGGCGATTTGCTCGGCGGTGGGCGGCGCGGCCATGTTGGGCGGGCGGAAGCCGGAGAGCGTCAACTACGACAATTTGACGGCACTCGCTCTTTTTTTGAGCTGGATTCACAGGCGCGGACCGAGTTTACTTTATCTAAGATATACTGCCGTCGTCTCGCAGCGTCGCCTCCATCCCGTCGGTCGATGCCTGAGACTTGCGTGACGCCCTTGACAGAGTAGCAGCAGTTGGCAATTCGGTTTTATGCCATTGGCTGGTCCGCGAATTGCAAATGAGAGGCGATGGAATAACTACACCGTCGACATGTACATCCATGTATACATGGCGTAATTTTGGCCTCGCGTCTGGTACATGGTCCACTTCCGCTCCGTACCGTCATACCCGCCGGGCGAACTGGACGACTCGCAGCGGGTTGTGTCATGTTGGGCCGCCAGGACGCCACATGGCCGCCCGGAGAGTGAATGCAGGAGTTACTGCATGTGGTCTCAAGTGCTGTCTGGTGTTTCCAGGAAGTGGAGTGGAGTCGATCCTCGAACAAGCTATCAAGTCAAGTCTGGTTTATGAACCAGCAGGTGCCATGCGCAACATCGCCGCGGTTACACTGCGTTTCCACCAACAGCCAACTTACTCCATGCAGATGCAGTCACAGGCAAGTGGCTTCGGCACGACAGACAAGACAACCGGCAAAGAAAAAGACGCATCCCGGCATAGCATCTGCATACAAAAGACAATCATCCACAAGGCCCTTGCATCATCGGGACGACAATCGTGTTCAACTTTGCGTCAACCGCACCCGGCACCATGACCGCCCTTCTTCGAAACGAGTGCAAGCAGGCCCTCGCAAAGAGCCTGCCATGGACGAAATCGCCACTCGTCATCAGCGCGCCCATGCGCGTCATGACCGGGCCGGGCCTTGCCGTCGCCGTCTCCTCCGCCGGCGGCCTGGGCTTCCTT